AGCAGTCAAAGCTCTGAATATTCTATTATAACAATCTCTTTTTTATAACGTGCTCAGGTTTATCACAATAAACCCTGCATGTTATCTCGCCTGTGAGCTGTTGTCAGTAAGGTTTCTAATTTTGGAGACAACCCCCTCAGAGGTGGGCCACCTAAAATTGAGAAAGCACAGACTGCAGTGGAAGCAAAACCAGTCAGGGTGTGCTCTCAAGTCACCAAAAAAGGAATTTTTATGTCACATTTTCACATGTCACATTATACAAGGAGGCTGAAAATGGCTGCTGATCCTTTGATAATACAGACATAAAAGACTGTTAAAGAAATCTTCCCTTTGAAATGTAAATGTATGGATAGCCTATAAATACCGTATATAAAGATACTACAAACAATAAATGTAAATAATAAAGTGATAATACATTAGAATATTTATTTGATCTTTTTTAGAAACACACATATTTTTATATGAATTTCAAATTGAAAGTAAATGTTAGGAGATGTTTAGATTTCAGTTTTATTTTTAACAAAGATCCAAGAGGATTACATCCCATTTGCAGCTTGTCTTTGGGATCAGACAGCAATTTGCTGCTGTGTGAGATGGAAAGTCGTGCTGCACTGCACAAGTGGGCAGTGAATGAGAGGAAAGTTTGCTCACCTCTCCATCATAATCTGTTGCTCATCAAAGAGATCTATTTTCTGCCCCCTTTGTACCTTTTCACTGGACTGCAAACTCTGACAAAGTGCCTGAGTCTGTGCTCTTTAATGATGATATATGAGCGTTATCCTGAGGATGTTGTCAGATCAGGGGGAAGTGCTGTGGGTGTAAACCTGGGTGGCGACACGCGGAGAGTAAATAAAAAATATGGTATTTTTTTTCTGTAATTCAAAAGGATTATTTATCTGTTGATGGAGTGCTGCCCTCAAAATGTCAGCAAACAATTGAAAGAAGCTCAAGGTGCTTTAACTCTGTTAAATTGAACTTAACATTGATGATTAACCCCCATTTTCTAATGTGTTTATCTATAATTGGGGGTGTCACGACTTAAGCAATTACCAGAAGAGATCAAAGCAGTTCAATAAGTTTTTCAGCTGTAGAGTAACAAGTAATGTGTCCTCATAACTGAGCCAGTTGTATATGAAACCTGTCTGTGATAAAAGCAAAATGTGGTGCGATGCTGTTGAGCAAATTCTCCACAAACTGATTTTTGGTGCATTTTCAGACATCTATGCCACCACGGTAATGAAGATTAATTCACAAATCCTCGAATACACACGCTCCTGAAAAAGGAATTCATTGTGTGCGAAATCTAGCTGTTGTTCAACTTGTATTGCTTTGACACAGTGCGTTTTGCAACACCCATTTCTCAAACTGACACAGAATAAAGAAGGGTTGCGGCCTCCTCCTGTTTAATTATAGCGCCCTGAGAAAAGCAGCAGATGCCAACAAAAGACATCAAAACAGCTATTTGCATGAAGAGAGTCTAATTTCAAAATGAGTCAAAAATCTATACTTTGGTGCGCTGATATTTTCAGCAAGCTGAATGTGCTCTCATGGTGCAAAATTGTTAATCTAAGAGCTCTGCAATCTCCCAAGATATTAGACTCATGTCAAGTGGTTTTGCTTTTTGCCACTGTATGATAACATGACATGAAAAATATTATTTACATGCGTCTCAAAAGATTATGGGGACTGAAATCTTACAAAGTTTAATAAAGAGTAATGAATATTAAAGTGATGCTCTATCTCGCTCTGTTTCACACATACATACAAAAACGTCTCGTCTGCATTGCTGCATATAATCAATCATTTATGAAATACCTTGCTTAGGGCTGGTTAATTATTATTAAGCATTATGGTATTTATTTTATTCTATGTAGAAAACAGTGGGTTAGTTTTATAACCGGCGGTAATGCTTATGAAGCCTTTGTCAAACTTATGGGAAGGAGAACTGTTAAATAAGCATTTTAACAGCATCCCAAAGTATCGGCTCTAATTAAATTACATGATATTTAATTATTTTCTTGCTTATTTATTTTGCTGCAATCTTAGGTTTCCATCAAAAGCATTTTAACTTGTTGTTAGATGTGTTCATATAGTGGCTGTCAACAAGCAGCCCATACAGATACGCCTGATTTGTTGTGTCTATTGAACTGACAACTCTGACAACTTCTGTAAAAAACAACAAGAGCTTTCTTTTTACATTTTTATAGTTTGAGCAGGAAGAAATTCAATCAAAATGCACGTCAACACACTTATCGGTGCATCTTTAAAGACTCATTTGTTTCTCCAAATAAACAGAGGAAACATTGCAAATTGACTTTCAAATGTTCTAAATCAAGTGTCCTCACACTATCCTAGTCCTTTTTGAACTTTCAAATGCAGCATTCGAGGATATGTGATGTATCTTTGTAACGGCAAAGTGTTGCAATGTGTTTTCTCATTAAAAACGACTCCAAGACACATTTGCACTAACAAGGACACATGAAGACAATAACAAATGCATGAACCCGACTATAGAGTTATGTATCTGTATTAGCCCTTCGTTGAACTCTGTTCAGTGCAGTCTCTCTATATAAAACAGCTTCTAGAGGGAAAACTAATGAAAGTACTGTCACCTGGACCTCACATGTAAAAATATGTCAAAGGTGTCAAACTAATTTCCTGCACTCAGTTCCCCTTCAAAAGAGACTACAATCACCTTCTCAAAGAATATGAGAGTGATTAATAATCTCATGACCACATCATCAGCTTGTGTTTTAATTTAACATCACAATCTCGTCTGTGTGGCTAAAGTGTTAAAAGCTTAATCAAAAAAACCCTAAATGAATCTGTTTCAAAGAGACGTAAGAACCAGATATTCAACCCAAGCTGTCCATACTGATAATATTCTGCTCATTTCATTAAAAAAATAAGAAGCTGTCCATTTCTAGGTGGAAAAGAAATGGCAAATGCACTGTTTTTGCCTTTAAAAGTTTAGTTATTGCTCAAACTGTGGATTATTAACTTTTTTATTTCTACCCAATTGCCAAATGAGCTGATATAGCCGATTTCTGCTTCCCCTTGCAAGGCTGAAGCCAGACACTCCCCTTGTGCAGAAAAGGATCCTGCAGGACTGCCAGTTCAAAGCAAGAAAAATCAATGTCCTCTCACAGTGCCACATTATGTAAACCCCAGCCACCTGAAAACGATTAGATTCAATATCTGCAAGGTTTAGCGACCATGCCTGGCATGTGTTGATGTTTCCCATACATACTTTGATATGGTGTCTGAGCAGTACTGCGATTTGATCTTGTTTCTACTCCTGCACAAGCACACATACATGTAATGTTGAATTACAAATGTACTTTTACTACACAGCAGCGTGTATTTATTATAACTAAAGTAAAAAATTCTGCTTCAAGTGCTTTACAGAAAAGGATGTTTAAAGTAACACCCATCAAGGAACTGTAAAGCCCCCGAGCTGAGAAGATCTTGAAACTTTAATGATTGTAATAAATTACTCCTGACGCATTAGACCACAGATAAGATAGCACTACTATCAGTACGTGCAGCCCTACCTGGTGATTACAGTAAAACACAAGAAAACTAATTTAGCCAGGGTATATCAAGTTACATAACTTCTTTGTGCTCACGTAATAACTTTTGTTTTAGAGCCGGAGAAAGTTGACACACAATTACCACTGTAGTGGCTTTTCATGACGTTGATGAAGCTATTAGTAAAAGGCTGAAAAAGCCACAAGTCAAATCTTTTGGATCCCACACAGACTTTGACTTCTTACCGAATGGAATGAAATTTTGCAGGTTGTCAAAAAACAAAGCAAATGGGAAAACAAGAGGGAAAAAACTCCTAAAGTAACATCGCAGTATGAAGCTTAGAATCATTTATGAAAATATGTCATTAAGAATATCCAGCAACTCTATTCTCAGAGAGGTGATAATGTGCTTTTGCACGACTTTTAACAAAGGGAGTACACATGTGGCACCAGTTCATGCCGAGTTTATGTCATGTGAGAGTACAGCAGTTGAAGAGCTGCTTTCATCTATCTGCAAACACAGAGACAACTCCGTTTGTCCTAGAATGTGAAACACACAACAGCGGCAACACATTATACACATTCACCTACTAGGGAGCCTGTTTGAAGCTTGATTCGTCCTTTGATGGTAGCTCCATTAATAACTGCTTCAAAACTGGATTAATGGTGAAAAAATCTTTCCTTCCATGAATCATTATTTACAGTAAAAAGCAAATTCCATTGAATATCTACAACCGACCACAAATTCCTACAAGGGATATCAGTGCTATGCCCGTTCATAAGTTTATCAAACCATCTATTGTATATATTCTCAATCCGTGTTCACAGCAGCCCAGGGTGTTTTCTGCTGTTCATCACAGAGCCTGTTTTCCCTATTGAGATAAGAAATTAAATCTGCAGGAGCAGAGGATGCTGGGTTTGCTGCAGGGTGGCGAAGCAGTAGCTCTGATAATGGAGCCGACTCCCATTGCGCAGGCTATGAGGCAAACAGCCGTGGCGCCAGCCCAACCCTGCCTATGTGAGAGGATAGCTAACAGTGTCATTCTGCAGAAGCTCGCTCTCCCCCTCTCTCCCTGTATGTGAACATGTGGTTAAATCTGCATGTGACAGAGAGGGGAGAAAAGAACGAGATTCTGTGTTTTTGCATTTTTCTGTTTCTCCATTTGAGTTAATATATGTGGGAGAAAAAGTGAAAGAAAATGGGTAAAACTGTAGGGTTTGCCTTTGTGTTTAATGTAGTGAGAATATGCATGCATGGCGAGTCAAACATACTGATCCTTTGGAATAAGAATTGAGTGATAGAGTCAGAGGAAGAAAACATCATATTTTTCAGCACATTGCTATCAAAACCATTCCCTTCTATCCCTTTGCCCCATCCCTTTCTGCTCATGTTCGCTGTCTGGATGGGTTATGTGTGGTGGTATATTATGTAAATGTGAAGAGGGTTTTAATTTCAATTTGGGAACTCACCAGAATATTGTGTCGTTCTGGATCCTCCTCACAGGGTTCACTTCAAAGCAGTCTGCAGAGAGAAATAAACGGTCACACCTTAATGTGCAAGCACAAATAACATTGGGGGCCATACGGCACCAGTTGTAATAGTGTCAGAATCATAAAAAGGTTCAATTTATAGTTCAATCTTTGATTTCATCCCAGACTCAATACAAATGATTTGATATTTTTGTAGCAGTGGAACAATCATTTTCTGCCCGGAGCCTCTCTGCCGGATGAAATTTAAAACAGGAGAAATCCAAGGAGAAATATAATTTTACCTGCCTCCTTCTTTAAAGATGATTTGCTGCTTTATATGCATGGCTAATATTTGTCTTTAGCCTGTATAATAATTCACTTTGGATTATGTAAGAGGGCACTTTCACATGTGTGTATTTTTTTTCATTATAGCTATTAGATACTTACTGCTGAATATAGAACATGTACTTTACTGTACATTAACTGTGTGAAGGCTTTGAATACTTCCTGTACAGCTGTACAGTCAGTAATGAGCTCTTGTATAACTTTGTGTTATTACATACTGAACCATTTTTTGTCACTAGTCATAGCCAAATCCATCTCCCTCTCTGAGAAAAAGAACTCTCTGGCTTGTTTGCACTTCTTTAAACCAATCCTTAATTGTGGTGGGCGGTCCTATGCCTAGGAAGCAGCGACGGTGCCCCTGTAAAAGAGTCGGGAAGAACATTTTGTTGGTGGAAGATTTGCAGATGGGGGAGACGCTAAATCCCAGCAAAAGAGAAGGTAACAGCTGCTAGCTAGTTTATGTTCGTACCCTCGCAACCAGGTTATGGTATCTTATCTCAAAGGTTGTTTAACATAGCGACGGTGCCTTTGAAAAACAGTAACACAGCAATAACGGAAGGGGAGGAGACTGAAATAGTCAGCAAATGGCAGGCTTATACCAACAGCCTATGTCCCATGCATTTAACATAAAGTTTAATAAAGCCAATACACTTAATAGAGTTGGCAGAGAAATATCATAAATAATTCAGTTTCACAAAGCCTGAAGAATAAAGTGCTGAATTTAAACAATAAGTGAATATAAGAATATTTGTCAATATTATGTCAATGAAGGTGGACATTAAATGCTGCCCAATACTACAACAGCCTCCACAGTGACCATAGAGGTGAAGCTTATATGGGTGGTACACAAACAACCCACCACAGCTCATTACTTTTAATTAGCACCACCTTTTTAGTTCATTAGTGACAGAAGCACGGATTACGCAGCTCTCTCTCAAACTTGCGAACCAACCGTTTGTCTTTAAACATTTATGTTTACCGCCCTCGAACTGAAAAGGTCAAAGTGTTCAAGTGGATGATGAACAGGTGGATAGCTTTAAGTGGGATGACACCTACAGTGTAATTTGCTGTTACTAGTCCACATTAGAGAGTGACACGGGAGTGGATTTTCACTCCGGTCCCATCCCACACCCACAAAGATACTCGTGTATCATCCCAATTCCATGACAGAATAAAATGTAGTCCTGTAAGAATGACCCCTGTCTCATCCCCTTCCTGAGTGACAAAAAAAGCCAATAGAACGACTAGCAGTTTGTTTAAATTAAAGAAAATAGTGTTTATTAATATTACAACTGTATATTTCTATCTAAAAACTGACCCATTGTTACTATGATTCCACTCTCACCCTCACCCATTTTTCTGTTCCATCCTAGTCACAGGATTAATAGTGAAACTGACTCCGATCCCAAGCTCTGATGTCAAAATGTCCACAATATGGGCGGATTTTGTATCCAGTTTATTTAAAGAGGTAGTAAAATGAAAAATAAATGTTTTCCACTCTCTTATCATGTGTCCCTAGGTTCATTTCTGTGCTATCTCTTGGCATATATGTCAAATTAAGGGACTGAGGCAGGTATAAAGGAGACTGTATATTAAAACGTCTGTCTTTTATGTTCCTGTAAAATATTTTTGATGAGTCATTCTGCATTCATGTGTATAGACATACATTTCACCTATCAAGAATAATTTCAGGATTAGGGTTAGGGTTAGAGTGTAAACTTCCCCAAATTCCATAAAGAGGAGGACAGAGCAGCTACTATTAGCCTATATTCTGATAGCATCCAGGACCAGCATCTACACAGTGGATACGCAAGTCATAACGGGGCTTTTTAAAGTTCACCTGTAACCCCACACATTTATGCAAGCTAGTCAGGTAAAGATATGCTCCTTTGCCTCAAGGCAGTGTGTCTGACATGCTATTGATTGCAGCATATGTTAGAGAAGATAAACACACTGTTTAATCCATTACTTGCACTTTTGCTCTTGTGTGTTTAGTTTGGAGAGACATAAAAAACACCATCTTCCAAACTCAAATGCACTTAATGCACCTTTAAGTATCACTGATCTTGTAAAACACTTTCTGGCAAACAGAAAAATCAGCAAAGTTTATTCCACTGACTTACTTCATAAAATCAGGCTGCACTTAACTGCATATTACAGATTTTACTCATCTCTTCTGGTTATTTTCACCAGCTGAGGACACATAAATGCTGTACATGAATATGTGCATGAGTGGCATCAGTCTCTCATGCACAAGGCTGAACTCTGCAGGACTAGTACAGGAACAAACTTCCTGGAACTCATTTAAACTGCTGCAGTACTGTATATAGGCTAAAACAATTCAAAGGAGACACAATTTCTTCTGTCTCTCCCCAATGCATAACTAAAAGCGCACATGGAGCAATCACAGTTAATTGAAGCTATTGTAGGTGAAGAAAAAAGAACCTCTTTCCACTTTTTTTTTTCTTTCCTTTTTCAGGAACAACGACAACAGAGGAATAGCTCTGATTCTCCACTGTCAGATTTAATTGCCAAAGCAGCAATCTTGATTAAGATCTCAACGGTCTTTTTTTATCAGCCCCAGCCAAAGCAACACAGGGTGTTTGTCCAAGCAAGACATATTTACCAAACCCAAACTCTCCCTTCTACAAAGTGTAAACACAGTAGGCCTCCACAAAAGACCCTGACATTGAGAGCAACCTTCAATAGCCAAAGCCATCCATTACATCCAGAAGAGACTCTTTATTAGTATCATGTTTGCAACTACCTTCCTTCCTATAAGAGCTCCCCTACATTTAGGTGATTTAGCTAAATCTTACATCTTCTTAGTGTTATTGAGGAATCGGTACCATACCATTCAGCGTGGGTATTGTGTGAAATTTTTAATTCAACTTAAATCCTTTACTTTCAAAATGCCATTATGTAACGTTCAATGGCCAGTTTTCCAACTGACCTAAGACAGTGATGTGAGAAGTACAATTTCACGCATGACGCACTTCACTGAGATGTCCATCTTATGTTCATGTTCCCTGAAGCATCCGACACTAAGGAATTGATTAAAACACACTGCACACACACTCGAACTGCAAATATCAGCAGAGCTATTCATGCCTCTTTAGCTGTAATCTTACATACTGTGAATGTATGCTAACTGCCCCTCCATCTATTCATCAAACTCCCACGCAGACACATCAAACACACACACTGCACGCACATAGACTTCAATTCAGTGACACAGCGATTAGGCTTGTGAGAGGATTTTTTCCCCTCTACATTTTAGCTGTTATTGTTACTTTTCTAATTAAAAATCTGAGTTGCAGAGGAGAGGGGAAAGGCTGCATACTCAAAAACAAAAACAGTTTTGCTTCAAAACATCCTTCAATAATCAAATGTTATTAGGCTCACTGCCTCATCTTCATCTGTGCTTATATTACAGTATTAAAACAGAGGACTTGATACATATTTTTTTGCCAATAAAAGTCATAAAATAGCCTACATAAAAATGTCCAATAGCTCAAGGTTGAATGTTCAAGTTACTTGTTTTATCTGACCATCTGCCCAAAATCTAAAGATACTCAGTTTACTCATATATGGCAAAGCCTCACATTGGAGAAACAGGAACCAGCAAATATTTAATATATCAGCTTGGAAAAATGACTTAAACAATAAATACATTCCTAAATAGTTGCTAATTAATTTTCTGTTAAGTGACTAATCAGTTATTCCACTTATAGTTTCAGCTCTATCACACATTTAGAATCACACATCGATACATATACAGCCTTATACTGTATATAATTAGCATATATATAAGACCGATGATTTAATACATGATTGATGATTCATTAGATACTGAATCTGCAGCTGTCAGGGTGGTGGTTTGCTTGTTCCTGTTTTTCTAAACCCAGTGTAGCAACCCAGCCTTCTCATTTGCGGCCACTCTCAAGGACAAGCAGCTATTTGTTCAGTGTTTCAGGACCTCAGAGATTCAGTACACAGGGTGAGGCAGGCGTTTGGATAACTGTAAGCTTGGATTATGTCTCCACATAGTGACAATATGGATGTTTCAATTCTTTTTTCTTTTTTTTCTTCTCACTATTTTTGCAGATTTCCACATAAACTGAAAACTGAAACATACTATTGCTACTACTATTTTGCAGTACCTGTTAGTCTTTGGAGTGTGACTAGAGGCCAAAAATGTCCATAGAAACATTATCACCTCTCAGTCGAAACACCCTCTAGAATTCTTAATGAAGAGTGAAAAGCAACCTGCTACAGGGCCTTTCTATAGCAGTGTCCAAACCATGTGTGAAAATGCTAGGCACACAGCACATCCACATTACTCTGCCTGACTTGCCACAAGGCTAAAATAAACATTTCGAGGCCGGGACCCACATTGCTATTATAAAACCTCCAATAAAAAACAAGTAAAGGAACACATATTTGATTGTGAGCCATGGTGAACCTAACCAGCTGGATGAATTGTGAATAGAGGCAAGAGGCTAGCCTATGGATTCTGAGTGAGGCCTGGTTATTCTGCCTGCTGAAAACAAGTAGTGACGTGGTGAGAAAGCAAAGGATGCGAGAAATACCAGCCCAAATAAACTGCATGCTTAGCTGATGGCTCGACGGCAGCGTTTGCCTCTGTTGCGCATGTTAAGCATGGCGTCATTTTCATCTGATATCAAACAGCCATGTTACGCTGCT